GGGCCCGACTGTTTGGCCCGGGCCGGCACAGCAGCCCGTTGGGAGCGATCGTCCTTTCTGATTCTTCCCACTTGGCGTTGTGAGGCCGCACCTGGAGCGTCGGGTCCAGTGGTGCTGACAAACCGATGGGATGCTAGCAGAGGACTTGATGCTTAGGGGGCCGGAGAAAGTGGCATGTGAGGAGAGGCTGAGGGAACTGGGCTGGCCAGGCTGGAGAAGATGAAGGGGGGGGATCCTTATCGTTATCCACAACTATCTAATGTGGTTGTAGAGAAAACACAGCCAGGCCATTCTCAGAGATACGTGGTGATAGGACAAGAGGCAGCAGTCACAAGTTGCAGCAAAGGAAATTTAGAAGGGGGAGAAAATCACCCTGAGGGTGATGCAGCACTGGAATAGATGCCTAGAAGAGGTTGTGGGACTTCTGTTCTTTGAAGTACTTAAAGCTTGTCAGGGGCCTGAGCTAATGTCAGAGAAGCTGGAGTTGTAACAGATGGCATCCAGAGGTCTCTTCCAAACTGAGTATTTCTATGATTCTGGGCTACAGCTGGTCAGTGTTTGCATCACCATTAGACCTTCTAGGCACCCTTGATGTGGGCACTGGATGTTGTATAGCCAGTAGAGAGGTCAGCTTTTGCCTCTAAAGAGAGAAACGCTCCTCCTACCACTGTAGCATGGGTAGGGTTATGGGGGCATGGGGGAAACAATCTGTGCTGCAACACAGTGAGGCACCTAGAGGGCACAAGGTTGAGTCAGGACTCCATGTTTCTTGACCTGTGTGCTTGATGGGAGTGTATCAGGAATGTTGATGTCAGCCGTGGAAAGAGTTGCTTCTGTGGGTTGAATTTATCTGTAACTAGGAAGAGATTACTGTTCTACCAGTTATATGAAAACTGTCCTTTTTCCTCAACAGCCAAATTCTATCACAATCTTACTCAGCTATCCTGAAAAGTATGGTGGCTAGCAAAGCAGTGGGCACCAAAACAGTTTTTCCCATTAGAATTAGTGTAATGGAGGGGAATGTATGCAGGGATTTATGAAATGCTCACAGTTTAAATATACAGAGACATGATGTGGAGGATGGAATAGCTGGAGTAGGCTCGTAAACTGGAGGAGATGCTGACTTTTCAGCAGCCTTCTTTTCAGAAAGATGTTAGCCACTTCATCAGTAGGACAGAACACCCAGTGTAAACCTATTGTGAGTGCTCTTGCAACTTCTTTCTCAATGGTTATGTTTTCTTCATTGTCATCAGCTTCCTCAGAAGAATCAAGAAAGATCAAATTAATCTAGATTGACGGATGGAAGGTGGGGTAATAATGATGGTTCTCAAAGCAAGGTGTTTAACGATTGATAACAGAACTCTGAAACAATGACTAGAGAAGCAATGAATTATGGGATTTTGCTATGAAAGGCTCTGAGAGCTACTCTCTCACCCTTTTAACTGCTAGAGTAAAATTATGGCTTTTTTTTTTTCTTAGACCTTCTCTATTGATTCATAGCTCTCTTTTTAACTCTTGTTTCACTTTGCTGATTCTTCCCACAGAATGATTTTTAGATATGAATCTTGTAATTGCTGCTGGACTGGGAATGTTGTGTTAGTATGTTAGTTTCTTCTTACTAACCCAGTTCTCTTATCCAGCTGAACGAGCTAGTGGTGGGGGATACCAATGGGAAACTCTATGTGTACAAGAATGATGACAGCAAACCCTGGACTGTGCGATCCTGCCAAGGAATGGTCAGTTGTGGACAAAGTTTTAAAATGGTCTGTGCCTTTTGATGTATGTGCAGCCTGCTGTCCTTCACTACTACCTAGGAATGTGTAGGCCAGAGAAGAAAGGGAGCCAGAACTGCTTTGTGCAGTGATGTAAGGCCCTGCTTTTTCCCACAGCTAACCCCCTGGGCTAGCTGTGAACCCAACCTGAACAAACAAAGGAATTGGGCTTCTGTTCCACCTTGATCCTGCTCCCGTGCACTGTGGGTTTTGCCCCAGAGCTCTGGGCAATTGTGTGGCAGATCAGATGTGTTTCTGCCCCTGCCTCGGCTCTTCCTGTCCTTGAAGAGGCTGTTAGAAGTCAAGAGTTTATTTGTGAGGAGAGGAGTTAGTAGGGTGGGTTAGCAGAGGTTTATCTCAAAATGCTGCTTTGTGTTGCCTTCTCTCATGTATGGACTCTTAAAACCTTATTTTTTCCTGCAGCTCACATGTGTTGGCGTGGGAGATGTATGCAATAAAGGAAAGGTGAGAGCAGACAGGCCCTCCCCAGCTGTGTCTGCAGGGCATGTGGGAGGTGCTCAGGAGGTTACAGTTATAACATACACTGAGTGTGGAGGAGGACAGGTGCTTTCTGTCCAGCATCTGCCACAATTCAAGAGTTTGAGCGCTACTGTTCTAAAAACAGTTCCCCTATTTAAACATAATCTGCATGTGCTTGTGAGCCTTATGCAGGCACTGGTGAGCAAAGAAACCCATCCTGTCTTCAGGAAGCATTATTGATTACCAAGTCTCCCTGTGTGAGCCCTCCAAGGTTTCTGTGGTTTGGAGGTTGCTTACTTTCACCACCGGCTCTTAATCTGTTCTGTGATGGTCCCTGTTATGGACCATGGCCCTTCTGCCATTTGGCTGTGTGCATTTAAGGCCACCCAAACAAGACTGAGCCACAGAACAGTCCAGACTCCCAAGCAAATTCCAGTGTGTCTAATATGACTCCTTCTGCTGGATTGGTATTTCTGGGATCAATGCAGGGCTACTGACTCCAAAACTCCTAAGTTTAGGCATGCCGCTTAACATACTATAGCTATCTGTGCTCCAGAGGGCAGTGGAGCTGAAGTGAGGAATGGAAAAGCCATACATTGTTTGGGCACGTCAGCCTATGGACAGGTTGGACTCTGCAGGACCTGAGTAGTTTGTATGCTGGCCAAAAACTTCCCTGTTCCCTCTGTAGTATCTGTTGATCTTGATGGATTCGCCTTTGTTTCTTCTCTTCCCCTGCTGTGGGACAGCTTCTAAAAGAGGAAAAATCAGAAGGTTTTTTCCTTCCCTCTTAGAATCTCGTGGTGGCAGTGAGTGCAGAAGGCTGGTTTCATCTTTTTGACCTGAGTTCTGCAGCTTCAAAGCACCCAGATGTCTCAGGCCATCATGAGTTGGCGGCAACAGCAGAAGAGCAGAAGCCAGTGTTCAAGCAGCACATTCCTGCCAACACCAAGGTCATGCTGATCAATGACATTGGTGAGCAGGGTAGCTGAGGTGGGGATGAGGGAGTTTGTCAGTGTGAGGTGGTAGTGGGAGACAGAGAAAGTATCTATGATGAACTATGAACTATGAACTATGGTTCAGCTGTCAGGATGCAGAAGAAGGTGACCTGCTGAAGTAGGTGCTCTAGCAAACACAGCCAGGTGCTTGAGAGAGGAGTGAGAACTTCAGGAATTTTCCTGAAGTGCAAGTTCTTGTTACAGAATTGGGATGTGAGATGCCATCTGGTGGAAACCAGCACTGTGGTTTCTGAATGTTGGGGATTTGGGGCTGTGAAAGCCTGACAGAACTCATCTATCTCTTTGTGTCCCCTGCAGATGGAGATGGGAAATGTGAGTTGGTGGTGGGTTACACCGACAGGGTGGTGCGTGCCTTCCGCTGGGAGGACACATCTGAGAGTTCCTAGAAGGTCAGGTAGGAAACAGGATACTTGGAGCAGAAGAAGCCAAACATAGTCTTCATGAAGTGGCTCTCCCAAGGGAAAGGGGCATAAAATCTCAGTCCTGTGAGCAAAGAAAATTTTTTGGAGATGGGATGGCTTGAATGGAGCGATTGTCCTATATATGCACAGCAGCTGGTTGGGATGGTCTGGGAAACAGTCACCCGTTCTCATGGGACTCTTGAGAGGCCTTTTCACTGGGGTGTTCTTAGGTGGCTTTTGGTAGGAGAAGATCCCTTTTACTGTGACTGGCTATGTTTGTTCAGCCCCTGCTCAACATCTAGCAGAAAATCTGCCACCTTCAAATACTGATTCAGGAAGCACAGTGGAGTCCTTTGAGGTATGTGAAGTTCTCAATTTGACTCTCTCCATGTTTTTCCTGTGCCGGTACAGGTGGACAGCTTGTCTGTGAACCCAGGCCCTGATGGCTCACCTGAGATGATGGTGTCTCAGCCTGGCTGTGGTTATGCCATTCTGCTGTGCACCTGGGACTCTGAGCAGCAGCCCGCACCAGAGAGAAGAGACAACTCTGCCTCAGGCAGGTGAGCAGCATATCTGCATGGAGTAGATAAGGAGATTCTGCTTTAGAGACAGGTCGCAAGGGAGTGACAGCACATCACCTTTCTGTAGGGGGCTGCAGTTTGTCTTCAGTAGGCTGCTCTGCTGCTGGGAGTCCATGACTTGTCTCAGTCCCTTAAGCCTACCCGCACCCAAGTGCCTGTGAATTCCTTTTCATGTGTCTATCAATCACAGACACATGCAGCTTTCCTTGTATCTCATTCTTTACTCTCTGGGTTGCACAAGGAAAGTGGCAAAACCTGCTTACCAAGGCAAGGCAGTATCCAGGGCTAACACAGGAAGGAGAATAGCTTCAATCCCCACAGAAAAAAGGGTAGGTAATCTGGGGACCTATCTAATGGTGGGGAGTGTGGTGACTGTTAGAAGCTGAGCCAAAGCCAGTGAAGCCTGGCCTTGATAGGCCAGAAGCCCTGGAATGACATTGTGGGTTCACTATTTTCTTCCAGATATGATACTTGGAGGTTTTCCTAATGAGACCCTTGGCGAGTTCTGTAAATCACAATCAGAGCAGTCAGAATGAGCAGGGAGGTTATCATTCTTGGCACTTCAAGGACCTTCGTTGGGAACTGAGATGTTCCTGGGGTCTTTTGTGAGACTTTAAGGCTGACCCAGAAAATTATTAGGAAGGGAGTTATTAGTGGGCAGCTTTACTCTGAGCTGTCTGGCAAAAGAGAGTTGGATGCATTCGTCTTGTGCAAGTCTTCTTCTTGGTTTGTTAGAGACGTTAGTAGACAAAGTAATCCTCTAGACAGGACCCAGACATATGCACCTGTTCTGCTCCAGGCAGATGTTTTTCCTGAGTAAATGGCAGCATTAAAGTGATGGTAAGAATTGCTCTTCTTCCCTTGGTTGGAATAGATTTTTTTTCACTGCCTGATTTTTGAGCTCTTTCCAGTTTTCTCATACATAAAATCATTCTGTTTTGTTTAAAAAAAAAAAAAAAAACTTTAGCAAGTTCCTCTCATACTCAAGGAGGCATGCATTCTTTTCCTTAGTCTTTATCAACAAATAATCCCTCTGCTAACCCAGACTGATCTCCTCTGTCATTTTTTTGCTGCTGAGTATTTGCCTGGAGAGTTAGCCTGTGCACAGCCTCCATCCGTTTCTGGACTTGGAGAGCTCTGGAGTGCATTGCCCATGAGATTGTTCGGGCACAGTCCCTGGCATGGTTCCCTAACCTTTCCATGATGACTGTCTCTCTTTTCCCCAGGGAGGCACCTGTTCGAGATGTTGTTCTCCACCAAACATCTGGTCGTATCCACAACAAGAATGTTTCCACTCATCTAATTGGTAGCATTGGCCGAGGTGAGAGACTGGAACCCTTGGGTCCCTGACTCAGCAGTTGTCCCTAATAGAGCTTGTCAATGTATCAGTCCAGCATGAGATTGAATTTCCTGTAGCAGAAAAATAATTCTGGGAGGCAGCTGCAAGAACAGAGGTTGCTCACTTCATGTTAGCCAGCCCCCAAAGTAGGACAGGTGGGTGTTTGCATTCAAAATTCCTATAGCCTTTGTTCCTCCCAGAGCAGCTGTTAGATTTCACCCAGCATAGCAGCTTCTCTGCAGCCCCCACTGCCTTGCATTTACTCATCCTGAATAGCTGCCATGCCCTGTTCCTGCAGATATCCTTGATCTTTGTCTTTGTGTGGCTGCAGCTTATGCCCTCTTTTTACTCCTGAGATGTATCTCCTCCTCTGCACAGCCTCATCTTTATACCTGCTTTTGTGCTTTGCAGTGTTTGATTCCTGATGCCTGTCCTCTGGCAGCTATATCCTGCTTTTTTTTTTTTTTTCCCCTTACATACCTAATTCCAATGTGCTCTGTCTCCAACCAATGTATTCTGTTCTGTAAGTTCTTCACAGCTGCTGGCTCCTGTCAGCCCTTATACATTGCTGTTCTATTCAGACATTTCTTAGTCCTGCCACTGCTTCTCCGGTGCAACTGCTTTGGGCTCTGACCTGTGCCTGCTCCCACCTCCTGGGCCCTGTTCTGGCAACTATGGAGAGTGTGCAGCTGTCACTCACCCTCAGAGCACGTGAGGTTAATGCAAAGAGGCACAAGATGCAAGATTCCCAGGGTAGATCACTTTCACTCCTTGTCTGCAGCTGCCTGGAATCCATCTGCATTTTTCCCCTGTGTGCCTGCTGCCCCACACACACACAGTACCCTGTCCTCCCCAATGCCTGAGGCTCTCGCTCAACCTGTTACGTTTTCTGCATCTCAGTTGCTACTATGAGCACCATGGGCACCAGAGCGTGAAATCAGTTATTTCACTGCATGCCAAACATCATACCTAAGGGTCTGCAAACAAATGGAGGCACACAGAACAAGGAATGAGGAAAGGATGGGAAAAGCCTCTTGTACTGGACCATCAGTGGTGAAAAAGCTAGAGTGCCGTTGTGACAAGCCTATAAAGGGGGCACAGCAGATCTTTTGAATTGGGGCTTGTCTGGATGAATGTCAGTGAGGGGCAATTGGGCACCCAACCAGCTGACTGTTTCTCTTAAGCTGACCAGCAGAAATAGGGCAGTCCCTGTCATGGGAGGGTGTAGGATGCACTAGCCTGGAGCTCTGGCCATGGGCAGTGGAAGTAGGTTTGCAGTACTGCATCCTTCTGGGGAAACTGCCTATTTGTCTTCAGGTCTGCTGTCTTGTTCCTGACTGCTGGGTTTGCTGGGTTCCTACAGACCCCGGGGAGCATGGGTGTCTCCTGCCAAATTGTCACTGAAGGAATCTGATAGGCTTCTATGATGGAATGACTGGCTGGGTAGATGAGGGGAGGGCAGTGGATGTTGTCTGCCTGGACTTGAGCAAGGCTTTTGACACTGTCTCCCATCCCATCCTCAAAGGCAAGCTCAGGAAGTGTGGGCTAGATAAGCAGACAGTGAGGTGGATTGGGAACTGGCTGAATGGCAGAGCTCCGAGGGTTGCGATCAGTGGCGCAGAGTCTAGTTGGAGGCGTGTAGCTAGCGGTGTCCCCCAGGGGTCAGTACTGGGGCCAGTACTGTTCAAATTGTTCATCAATGACCTGGAGGAAGGCATAGAATGCACCCTCAGCAAGTTTGCTGATGATTCAAACTGGGAGGAGTGGCTGATACCCCAGAGGGCTGTGCTGCCACTCAGAGGGAGCTGGACAGGCTGGAGAGCTGGGCAGAGGACCTGGGGACGCTGGTGGAGAACAAGTTGACCGTGAGCCAGCAGTGTGCCCTGGTGGCCAAGAAGGCCAGTGGTATCCTGGGTTGCATTAGGCAGAGTGTTGCCAGCAGGTGGAGGGAGGTGATTCTCCCCCTCTACTCAGCCCTGGGGGAGGCCACATCTGGAGTACTGTGTCCAATTCTGGGCTCCCTAGTGCAAGAGAGTCATGGCACTACTGGAGAGAGTCCAGCAGAGGTCTACAAAGATGATGAGGGGACTGGAGCACCTCTCCTAGGAAGAAAGACTGCAAGAGCTGGGCCTGTTCAGCCTGGAGAAGAGAAGACTGAGGGGGGATCTGATCAATGCATACAAATATCTGAAGGGAAGGTGGCAAGAGGATGGCGCTGGACTCTTCTCTGTGGTGCCCAGCAACAGGACAAGAGGCGACGGGCACAAAGTGAACCACAGGAAGTTCCATCTGAACATGAGGAAAAACTTCTTGACTGTGAGGGTGACTGAGCACAGGAACAGGCTGCCCAGAGAGGTGGTGGAGTCTCCATCCTTGGAGATATTCAAAACTTGCCTGGACGCGATCCTGTGCAATATGCTCTAGAGGACCCTGCATGAGCAGGGGGGTTGGACTTAGATGATCTCCAGAGGTTCCTTCCAACCTTGGTCATTCTAGGATTCTGTGAATTAAATGGAGCTGTAGTTGAATATAACTCCAGTGCTCCTCCTGCCAAGTGCAGCATGCTTTAAAAACCTAACCTTGTGTGCCCTTTCTGTCTGGTGGCTAGGCAGAGAGTGTACAGGAGGGCTGGAGCAACCTGATGTCCAAGGGAGTCTCCTCTTTAAGTTTAACTAGTCACACCTGCCAATGCTGTCCTGCACACAGCTGTGTGGTATGTAGGCTTTGAAGAGGATACTGTTTGCAGGAAGTTCACCGCTATATGGGCAGGGCCCAGGAAAGCCGGGGTAAATGTGTAGATGAGCATGAAGCGGGTGTCCAGTTTGCTCATAAAGTGAGGGCTGTGTAGCGTCTGACCATGGTTTGCTGGGAGGGGACCACAGCTTCTGAACAGTTCTGCTCTAGTGACAACAGTAGAGTTGGTAGCATGAGTCTTGGTGCTTCTCTCCACAGACTCGTTCAGGAATTGCCATGGAGGTGCTTTGCTGCTAACATGACTAATACTTTGTCCCCTTAGTGGGGTTTATCCTTGTTCCTTTGCTCCTTCCTCAAACAGCTGAAGGCTACGTTCCCATCCCTGAAAAATGATGAGAGTAAAGTGATAATGCTCTGTTTGGTTTCAGCTGTTCTCTGCTTTGTCACTCATGATGCTCCTGCCTGTGCTTCGGGCATTTCTGGTGACTGGAGGGGATGTAATGAAGTCTATTAAAATCAGAAACACCAAAGGCCTACAGCAGGTGCTTACATTGCACAGAGAGACTCGTAGGAGCAGCCAGCAGAACCAGACAGGCCTGTTTCAGTGCAAACGAAAGGTTCAGAGTTCTTGTGTTTTGAGAGGCCAGTGTCCCACAGATAAAAGCTGGCAGGAAGTAGGATTAGCTGTAAGACTATGCAGATATCTGTTATGCAAATTGTCAAGGCTAGGCAGAAAAAGAAGTTTGGATCAGCTTGCTGTTTTGGATCTTTCCTCAGGAGAGGGAGGGGACAAGGCTCATAAAAAAGGCATCAACTCATGTAATTCTCTTCTGCATTTACAGGCTGCTCCAGTGTGAATAGTGGCTCAGGCCTCTTTGCCCTCTGTACTCTAGACGGTAAGTTCTTCTGCTGTCCTGGGAGAGAGCCCTGTGGGGCAGCCAAGGTGTGTCCCTAATTCAAAGCAGGGAACGGGGGCTCAGTGCTTTTGGTCTCAAAACATGAGGGAATCGGGCTTCAAAAATAGCTCTTGGACCAAGCAAGAGAATTTGACATTGAGAATCTTTCTGCTGATACCTGTGTAGGCATGAGAGCTAAGACAGGAGCCAAGGTGTAGGAGTTCTCACTGAGAGTAAGTCCCCCTTAAACCAGATGTGTGATCACATGCCTGTATCTGAGGATATGATAAATCTTGTGAAACTGAGCATGTCTTTCTGTTCCTTTTGGATTGGATCCAGTGTTGCACAGGTTTGTTCCCTCCAGGAAACCTGTGGTGTTTTCTGTCTGCTATTAATATTCAGCCTTCTATCTTCCCTGATGCGGTTCTTGTATCTGTAAATTTCAATGCATTTTACAGACATTAATTACTCATATGGCCCTGTGGCCAATGGGGATGGAAGTATTAAAGCCATGCTGCAGTGAGCAGCCTGGAGTATGAAGAGGTTAGGTCATCCGGCCCAAAATCCCACTGCAAGTTTGACGTGGAAAGTGAGACTAGAACTTGCATCTGCTGACTCTTAGTTGCCTGCTTATCCTGATGATTAGACAGCTGTTTGAGATGCTGATTCAGCCATGCTGTTAATGTAGACAAGAGAATCTAAACCACAGCAGATATATGTCTTTGTACTTGAAGGAACTTGGGTTGTTTCCAGAAGCGGTAAAGGAAATAGATGCTGGGCTCTGCATGCTCAGAGAGGGACTGGCCTTACATGGGCCTAGGAGCCAGGTTCTCCAGGCTAGTGCAGGCATTCTATTCAAAAAACCACAGTATGGTGACAAGATGCTGTGCTTCTGTATACCCAAATAGGCAGCCTGGCAGATTTTGGCTGGAAGCCTACTTGTCCTAAGATGTCCAGCTAGGGACTTTATGATTATTCTTCAGGCCTGAACTCTGATGCTGCTGCACCGGGCAAAGCCTCTAACCTCACCCTAGTTCACTCATGAACCTTACTAAGGCTGGAGAGCACTATGAGGATGGATTCATGTTTATGTTCTGATCTGTCTCATGGCCACATGCCCCCTGCTGCTCTGTATCACCACAGTATCTCTCTGGATGATAGGAAAATGGAGTGTGAGGTAAGTGTCCAGTATGGTTTTAGTAGCCAAGGAACATGTCCATGCTGTCAGCCAGCCGGTTCTTAGCTGATAACACGCTTTCCTGAGATTGCATGATCTGTGGGACATGGTGAAGAACTACTACTTTAAGCACTGTCTGATGTGAGATCTGTTGATGTACTGTATTCTGGGAGCCCATTTCAGGCCATTTTCTTCCTATCTTGGAGTACAATCCAATTAGCAGGACTGCTGCAATTTTTCCTCTCTGTCTCCAGTTCCTGCTGGCAAGATAATGGACTGTCGTCCCTCCCAGAAATGAGGCTTTGCTATCTGTTACCAACCACAGCCTGCACCACAGGATCCACTGCATCTGAAGACCCTGAGTGTAGAGGGAGTGTGCAGGGCCCAATGTTAGCGGACGTCTTGCTCCCTCTTAATGTTTTCAAGACAATCTCTTTTTTCCCTTCAGGGACATTGAAACTCATGGAGGGGGCGGATAAGCTGCTCTGGTCTGTGCAGGTTGATCACCAGTTGTTTGCTCTGGAAAAGCTGGATGTTACTGTGAGTGTCTGTATTACTGGGGTTGGGAGGGAAGGGGTGAGAACAAAAACTCCACATGGCTTTTCACATGACCTTAGGAAGGGCAGAGGGAGTATGTTTCAGCTAAAAAAGGCTAGGGTCATCGCAGGATGGCATAAAGAGAGCTCTGAATATCCCAATGCATTCCATCAGGTCATGCAGTCCAGTCATGTCAGTCCATCCACCTGCAAGAGGTTGAGCTGTGTCTGCCTGTTTGAGCTGGTGGTTTTACTTACTGCCAATATACCTGATTGTTTACAAGTTCTTAGGATGCATAAGGATTAGAATAGAGAAGAGAGAGATGGTCACCAAGTTAATGAAAGGAGATGTCTTGTTCAGTTAACGTTCAGTTTCTGAGCTCTGCTGAAATTTAGTACCCTTTCAAGGAGAATCCTGGGCCAGAAACCACCCTTGCGTGCAGACTTTTAGACAGAAGGCAAGAGGGGGGCTACGCAGACATTTCCACAACAGCAAATATCCTATAAAAGGTGGTTTAAGAGTTGCTCTTGTGGTGGTGGGGTTTTTTATTTTGTTTTTGTTTTTTTTTCTCCTGTCACATATCCGTTTTCTCTTAGGGTACTTAATAAAGTTAAAGACAAGGGAGGAGACTGAAACCAGGAAAACTTCATATAGCTCGTGGTTTAAATATGGAGTTGTTGCCATGAAATGATGTTCAGGCAAAGAATATAAAACAGTTCTAAAAGAGTTCCAATGTTTATGTGGCTGTCTAGAATATTTGGAGCTGTCATAATTAATTGATGCAACTTTCAGGGAGAGAAGATTCAGGCTTTAGGGTGCTGGAGGAACAGAGTATTTTCCATCTGTTTGCTGGGAATCTTTTATATTTTGATGCATTTGGCAGCAATCACTGTTAGATCCAGAGTCCCGAATCATCTGCACAGTAGGTCTGATCAAGTCTATTGAGTCTTACTCCTCTTATTCTGGAAACTCTCTGGGAACTGGTGTCCTCAGAGAGTTGGGATTGGGAGAAGGTACTTGGTAGGCAGGAAAGGGAGTTGTGAACATTTGATGCCCTTGTAGAAGGAAGCAGTGAAGAACCAAAGAGAGGGAGGATAAAGCCTGAAGTGTAAGGGAACTGAGGGATGAAACAGTGGAACTCCTCTCTCCCTTGTTTTATACTGTTCTATAGTGTTACCTACTCATGTTCTCACTTTTCAGTCTGTTGCACAGAAAGCCTAGAAGCTTTTCCCAAAGAGAAGAGATTATCTACAGCTGCAGCTATCAGACTGATTCCTTTGTCAAGGCTCTGCTCTGAACACAGTCTAAAGCAGTGTGCCAGAATAGATGCTTCTGCTCTCAAGCAGGAAGGAATCCTGCCTGCCTCTAGGAATAGTTGATGTCTGTGCTAATCAGATATTTACGGTTCTTGTAGGGCAATGGGCATGAGGAAGTGATTGCCTGTGCGTGGGATGGCCAGACATACATCATCGACCACAATAGGACTGTCGCCAGATTTCAAGCGGATGAGAATGTCAGTGCGTTCTGTGCAGGTGGGGAGCCAGAACGCAGGTGCAAAGCCAGCCTCACAGCATTTCTCCCTCCAGGCTAATGTTCTTCTCTGGGAGACCTGAGACCCTCTGGATGTCCGCAGTGGGGAATAATTCCCCTGGGGTGTATATACTGCAGGATGCCAAGCTAGTCTTCCCTCTGGTAGCATCTGGGAAAAGGAGTGGTGAAAGGAAGTGATGCTGGGCTGTCTGTGATGGAGCATAGGGGGTTTTTTTTCTGTCCTGTTTGGGACAGTTCAGGTGGTCTTTTGTCTTGCCCACTCCTTTTCAATTTGCAAAATACTAAGCTGCTCCCAGTAGAAATATGGAGCCCCACATAGCCAGCCTGACCCTTGGCTTTGCTCATTCCCCTCTCTCAGACCTGTGAGAAGCAGCATGCAAATTCCCAAGCTCCATGCGCTAATGCCACAGTTCTAGAGACACTTGCCCATGGTCAGACTGGTAGGCACCTCTTGTATTACGTCAGAGGGACTTCACGTTCATGTCTCTGCCGCTCACTCTGGCTGCTTGATGCTTTCTGCTAACAATTCTGTTACCACATCATAAGAAGCTGCCTGTTTGCTTTCTCTGTCCTTTGGGAAGTAGCCAGCATCTCCATCCTTTTGTTTTCTCCAGGCCTCTACGCGTGCAAAGGAGGAAGCAACAGCCCATGCCTAGTTTATGTCAGCTTCAATCAGAAGATCTACATCTACTGGGATGTGCAGCTGGAGAGAATGGAATCCACCAACCTGTTGAAAATTCTGGAGAGTGATCCAGAGTTTGGAGACCTCCTGCAGCAGCTGGGTGTAGGTAAGTGCAGAAAGGGGGAGGGTTATGCAGGAAAAAAGAGAGGAAGAGCTGTTGGCAGATGGCATGCTGGGAACTACTGTTCCAGATACTTCTTGGCAAGGGTACTAATCTGCTACCTGATGAGGATCCCTACCAGTCATCTTTCTCTCTTCTTTTTTCTAGAAAGAGGTGACGTTTCTTCTGTTAAAGATCTAATTCACAAAACACTGTATTCTCCTGAGAAACAGCAGCAGAACAGCCCCTCACAGTGCCAAGACCCTGCTGGAATAGTTTCTTCTACCCACCACGCTACTGTCCATTGCCCCTTATAACCTTTTGACACCTTTCATCTGAGTGCAAACTCTTCACAGAATGGAATTGGGCATTCATGTTGCATGAAGATCAGACTGCTCTCTTTTCCCTCTCTGTCAAGGCTTCCAGCCTGCCAACAGTCTACAGGCCAGGGTTTCAGGGAGGCAAGTGCTTGCCTGTTGGCTTGAGGCACAATGACAAGATGATTTGCTTAGCTGAGGAAGCTACCAGGACAGCAAGAGTCCAGGGCTCTGTTCATTGGCCTTCCATTGCCAGTTTCTGTGTTCTATGCTATCCAGAGTCCTTTTTGGGTGACTGTGGAAGAGCTCTGAGGACACAGATGGGAGAGAATAGCCAAGCTCAGTCTTATAGTTGCTGTAGTGATTGATTCTGAGTTCCTAGTGGGCTCACAGAGCAGGATTTGTGGGTTGAGGACTTGGGGAAAGCCCTCTCTCGCTGCCCAACTCTTCTGTCCAATATAGGCGTGTTTCTTCAGTAGACCCAGGCATTGTTTGCCTTTGTTCTGGTGCTCCTCTCCTGCCAAGCTGTGCTTCTCACAAGCTGCTTTCTGTCCTGAAGAGCTAGGAACATGTGAGAAGAACCACAGCTTGCACTGGTGAGGTGTCAAGGGGTACCAAAGCTCCAAGGAACTCCAGCTGCACTTGAGAAGCATTGCTTGCCTTCATCCTCTTGGGCAGAGTGATCCCAGAGGTGGTTGTGAAAGCAACTGTAAACTGGGCAATAAAAGGAGTTTGTCTTAGCTATGGATCTGTGGTGCAGCGATAGCTTGTCCATTCTGTAAAAAGCAGTGGGAATGTTGCACTTCCCTCTTACTGTGGAGAGTGCCATGCTATTTTGAGACCTACGCAACAGAAAGAGGTTGGCCAGCAGTGATGCTCCGCTTGCTGGCATGCAGCGTATGGAAGAGGCCATTGCTTGCCCAGGATGCTCATCTGCAAAGGCCCAGGCAGGAACCTGGCTACATGCTGCTGGTGTTCTGGTTTTCCCCCTTCTCAGCTTGCCGCTTATCTATCAGCTTATTAGGACAGGAGCAGCAGGCACACTTGCTGTGTTGCATCTGTTATCATATTCTGTCGTTTAGGTGATAATTCTGTTGAACATCCATAATGGGTGAAGCTATCCTTTCACCCTTAAAATAGCCTGAGAGGGTTGGATCCAAGTCAGAGCAAATAAAATTAATTCAGTGATCTCCCTTTAGCAAATGATAACACTTGAAGATATTACAGGCTGTTGAAAAGTCTGCTGTGCCATGCTCTGCAAAACATCCAAGAGCAGGCCTAACAAGAAAAAGGAACTTTGTATGGAGGAAAGGGATGTCTTGCTGTTGGGCCAAAAGATCTGTTGTTGAAATAGAGACCATGGGAAAAGGGCAGGATTTTTACATAATGACCCCTCACTTTTCTTTGCAATTTACATCCATATATTTGCAAGAGTTTTACAGAGGACAGCTGCTGTCCTCTGTGTTTGATAGCTCTAGAAGTTGAAGCGTGGAGTAGTGAAGTGGTATGCTCTGCTCTGTAACAGTGAGCTGTGGAACAGCACTCGTCCTGCTTTTCAGACCATTCTATCTTCTGACTCTAACTGTGCTGGAAGCTTCTCCATTATAATGGCCTCACTGAGAAGAATTTTTAAATGTCCACCTGTGATACTAAGTGCTTGTGTCCAACTGGACTCTTCATTGAGGCAGGAGCTCTGAAGGTATAATGGTGCTTTGGTAACAGTAGTGCTCAGGCTGGAGGAAGATGGGAGCAGCAGTGCTTGAGTTTTGTCAGCCTTGGAGAGCTGATAGTGTCTACTGGTGAGCTAAAGCAAGGAATTGTCTTGGGGCTTGTAACCTTGAAAAATTCTGCCAGTAATTATGATGCTGAGATGTACAGCCACCAGTCCAAGTGGGCATCTACCACACAGAGTGGAGCTGGTGGCAGGTTAGTTAGTGTGACCCTTTAATCAGTCGTGCTGCACTTTCCTAAGGAAGATGAGATCTGATAGGTCTCAGAAGTAGCAGGAAAACAATATACTAGGTTTCTGATCCTCAAAACCTAGTGCTGCTGCTATGGTGACAGTAACAAGTGATAACTCTCTTCCTTCTTTCCCCTAGAACTTCAGGTGAAATAACAACAGCTACTATCCTTGTCTCCTTCCCTGGGGACCCAGCTGAGTTGGGAAGGAGCAGATGCATCTCCTCATAGGGTGAACAGTTAGGTTTCACTCTATTCTGAGATACTTTCTCCCTAGCCCTGTTACTACCTGGTTTTAGTCTTGCACTTCAGAATTAGTGAAACTTACACCAAGAGGGACCACAGTGGAGCAGGGCTCAGCAAAGCAGAATTCTGGAGGCACTTCCAGAATATCCCTGAACAACAGATCTGCGTCTTGGTATGCTGCTCTTCAAGCCTGAACACAGACTGCTGCTCTTTCTCCACTTTGGGACAGAGACAGGATGCTTATAAGTGATACAGCACAGCAATGCCTGGGTTCTCAGTCCTGGCTTGCACAACTTGGCACGTGTACTGCTGCTTAGATGATGAGCTCTTTGGCTATGTGCACCATCAGATTTGATAGGATCGGAGGGAGCCCTACCACAATGCATACCTGCCATGGCGCTGCTTAGCATCGTTTTATTTTGGTAGGGTAGGGTTCATTCTTCACAGAAATACTTTCTCTCGTGATCCCCTGCTGGGATCTAAGAGCTTCCTGAAGCATTATCTGAAGCGTTTTATTTGCCTGTGAGTCAGGCCAGGCTGAACTCATCTGTCAGTTGGGGCTTACAGGCTATTTCAGATTTACTGCATTGTAAATCTTTCCTGAGCCCTAGCAGCAAAAGAGAATTGTCTACACTGACAACAGAACAACTCAATGCTGGCTGTCCATGCCCAGTGGAAACCTTTATTAGCAACATGAGCACAAAGGGGTACAAATGGTTGTATGACTGGAACTTGTTTATACAAAACAGGCTTTGCCACACGGGTCAAATGATTTCCAAGGAAAGAAGGTCAAATTGATCCACTGTTGGACTGTTAATTTTTTTAGAAGAAGCAGGAAAGGGCTAGTGCAAGAGAGAGAACATTTTTCTAGGAACCATCTCTAAAAGAAAATGGGGCAAAAACATGTGAGTGTTGGACAGGGCAAGTATAACCTGTGCAGCCTAGCCCTCTTCTCCTATTGGCCTGAGGATAACGTTGTTGTGCACCATGCAAGTACCCACATGCTGCACTGTGGAAAGCAGAGCAGAGAGGATACTGATACTACAGAACATCTGATCCCCAAAGCTCTGCAGCTCTTGAAACCATTGGAGAGGGAAAATAGTAGTGTTTGAGGGTTTTTCCTGACAGTTCTGTTTTGCTTATAGTACTTAAAGGGACTTGCAGATGCGTTTTGTTTCCGTTCCACTTGCACACACACAAAAAAGAAGAGAACGGTCTACAGCGAAGTGTGTCAGGACTTTTGTACTGTTCCTTGGCCAAAAGGTGCCTTCCCTGCTTCTTTTTCATGCCCTGAATGCCAAAGTGACAATGTAAAAGGCTGGCTACTGATGTCACTTCCACTAGCCTCAATTTTCTGTGGCATGTATGTCCACTCAGAGACTGAGCTGATGTGGCTCCTTCTCTGAAGAGATGCGGTTGCTTTATTATAGTTTCGTGGTAACTTAATGCCTCTTTGTCCTCCATAGCCAACACACTTCACAGAGTTGAAATTAGAAGTTATTCCTTCCTATGCAGCAACAAGTAGTGTTTGCTGCATCCCACTCAGTGGCAGGTTAGCATACCCACTGGTGGCAGGAAGCTCTCCCATGGGGCAGGACTTGCCAGATACATTTCTATGTATGGGGGACAGTGTGCAGAAAATGAGTCCAACAGAGTTCTCAGACAGTGTGGGCATTTGAGGATAAGCAGTTTGCAGGTTTGGTTCAATTTACTAGCAAGAAAATAAAGGGAGAATTTTTTTGTTTTTCTGAGAGACAATAAACCTGTTGTCCATCCCTCCTCCTGTTCTTATGAACACTTTGCTGGATGCCGTCATTTCCATTATTCTCCAGGTATAACCTGGCATTTGTTGGTTGAATTTCTTGTAAAGGAGGACTATAAATCTATGTAGGCAGCAGAATAGTCTTCATTTCCATAACTCACCATCTAATGGTGAGAGAAGGAGCAAGCCTCTGGGATTGTGGCTGGCTGGAACTCCTGTTCCTTTCAAAGGCCAAGTGTCCCCCAAGCTTGGCAAGGCAAATGATGTGATTTTGGCTTCAGAATGATGCATGTTCTTGGGAGGGGTTTACCTCTTGCACGCAGGCCTTGGAAGGGGCCTCAGAAGGTCACTTAGTCCATCTCGCCATGCCAGGGCAGGTTCAGCCATATGTATTTCACACCTAACACCTACTTGTCTGACTGTTCCAAAGGCTTGCTGTGACAGATACTTCCCTGTATCAGTCTTTCAGAGCTGCTCTGTCCACAGTACTGGAAAGTAGCCCTAGTAAGATCTGACCAACACAAAGGTTCAGAGATATTCTCCCCAAAATGATAACATATCATTGCCTATTTTGGAGGGGTGGGCCGTCTTAGAATGGTAGGTTTGGACACACAGAAGATGTAGCTGTATCTTGCTTCAGGATGGCAGTTCGTACTAAATTTCCACCTTCCATATGAAAACTTTAACATTTTTTTCATCTCTAGTGGAAAAGACCTTTAGACAGTTTCCAACTCCCCCCCCCCCAAACAACTAGGGTGACTGGTGCTGGGGGCAGAGAAATGTGTCTGTGTAACCAGCTTTTCCAAAGGAAACTACAGTTGAAATGGTCTTCAGCCTTGTCAACGCACTTAAAAATGACATATTGGACTCCCTAAAGTCAGGAGATTTTTAATAATAAGTGTTTCATGTGAGTAGAGTTGAGCTTGCTTCTTTAAGGCATTATCAATCCTATTTTATAACTCCTCTGCATCTTTGAAAACCAAAATTTTTCTCTTTCACTATGGAAGCTGGGGGTCCCATGTAATGACACAACATCAAGAAGGCTGATCTTTTGACAAAACACATTTGTGCATTAATCCAGAATACATGTGTTAGGGTTAGTGGCAATATGTCATTTAATACCAGGGAATTCTGGGAGATGGAAGCCCACCAAAAGTTCTGTTCAAAGCAGGTACTGACAGTGTAGGATTAGACTGTAACTTACAGAATGAGTTGAAGCGGGCTGTAAGCTATGGTGTTATGACCAGCAGGTCTCAATTTAGTCATAGTTTTTTCTGTAAATTCTGCCTGCAACAAAGCTTGATGGGGAGGTTTCAGGATAACTGTTTCCAACAGGTTCCTCAATAGTCAGGAGGAAGATAATTTTACTGAGGGGACCTGGATGTTCAATTGACGTGGCCAGCAGGAGGATGAAGAGCATGCCTCATACTCTGGAACTGATTTCACAGTTGACTCTAATAGCTCTCTCACACTGACTTAGTACTTGCTGGAAACATCCTGTCTGTGACTGAGAAGTGGTACAACCTGCATTCATATATGCAATTGCTAAGAGCAGAGGGGAAAGGCTGGCAAGATAGTGACAGAATGTAAGAGAGTATTAGCAGCCAGTGTATATTGAAAGTGTTGTTAAAAGGATTATCTAAAGAAGGAAAAGACTGCTTTTGGAAAGAGCAAATTTGTTACCAGTGTGGGAGAGTGAATGACTCACTTGGGTGGAGGTGAAGAGGAGGCCAAGAGGGTTTCATTATGCAGAGAGCAGAAGAATAGATAGGCAGAGCTTGGGATTTCCACCTGCCTTAGCACATTAATTAGCAGACGAATCTGAACTTCTAATGATTTGAGAATTGAGGCATGTGAATCCCAGAAAGGCTTCAGAAGGACTGGAGGATGTTCTGAAGATGAGCAAAAAAAGAGTATGCCAAGACTGACATGTGAGAACAGCACGTGGTGAATTCCAACAGCAGCTCATGTGCAAGCATATGCAGGGCTGTAAGTGACAGGCAGCAGTGAAAATGGAGACGTCAACTCAAAGTCATGCCAACTTTCTGTAGGATCCAGTCCGGCACCCCTTAAATGAATGAAAAGATTTCTATTGGTTTCAGTCTGATTTGGGGAAGATCCTTGATTTATTTTTTAAGAGATCAGCAAGGTTAATGAGTAACGAGATGCAACGGACATGCTATTTGTCAGCTTTAGTAGGTTATTTGCCATAGTTCCCCATGCTATTTCTAGAGGGATGCAAGAGCTGGAAGCTGGGTGAGTTGCTACACACAGGAACATAGGAGGAAGTGTCTCATCTAACACAAACGAGTTTTTCAG